ATATATATTATTTATATACTATTTCATGCTACCAGTACTTACGAGGGTGGATCTATTGATCCACAATAGGTACCCGTGTTTGAAGACAAGTGGCGTTGCTGAGGGTATTAAACGTGTGTGGTGTTTTTCGATACAATGGAAAAAGAGCAATATCGATCCGTAATTTATTTTTGGATGGAAAACATGCGAAGAAATAAAAGCGAAGTTGGATGCTGTTTATGGGGACCCTTCACCATCTATGACAACCGTGAGATATTGATTCAATGAATTCAAACATGGCCGTACATCTGTTTTTGATGAGAAGCGTCCACGCTGCCCGGCAGACGTGGTTACCGAGGAGATCGTATTTTTTGGAGGGGTTAAAGAAATGGCAAGGACGTTGGGAAAAGTGTATCGTCCTAAAAGAAGATTACGTTGAAAAATTTAAAAAAAAATTTATGAGAAATTTGCGTCTTCATTCCTAACTTGGATATTTATTGATCCACTCTCGTATATGGAATATATATGCTTATGCGATATCAGTACAATTGAAGAAAGATACATTAATTGTTAGTCTATGAAACTGCGATTATGACTGTTAAGAGGATGTCAGACTGTTCTGTTTTACCAACAGAATGCGAATATTAAATGCAAAATATTTTTGTTGATTATAGATATTAATAAATCCTTTTCCATAATTAAAGTACACATAGTAACGTAGTGCGGGGTATATGATTTCATGTAAAGAGAGAAAAAAAATTAAAACTTACAGTTTTGTTATCGGCTTCTGCCATCAACATTTGCTTAATATAAAAGATTTGTAATTTGCACGTGCCTAACAAGTGGATTCCGCACTCGGCATTTTATCAAAGAGTATCAGTGAACTTTGAGAAGTGAGTTTAGAAGCTTTATAAAAAAGATTTTACTATGCAAAACTTTCGTGCATATGTGTGTGCGAGATCGAGGCTCAAGAGTAAAACAGAGCAGTACATTATTTGCGTGATATCGCGATAGACAGAGCTGCAATCTTACATAACAAGGACAGACATAATCGTAATATCTTTGGCGTAACAGCGTTTGTCTCTTTCATGCGTATGAGAGTAATATACATGTACGCACTAACATTATTGCAGTATCTTTTCTCTCTCGATCATACGCTCTGTCTCTTTCTAATCGCTCGCTCATTATGTACTACGTATCGTTTAGCTGCATGTTCCTCGCATATTCACTTACGCGTTTAAAATAAATAAATTTATTTATTTATTGTTATTTTATACAGCATAAATAAGATACACAATAAGTTATTTTCTTTTTCTATTTAACTATAATTAAACACATGTACATACAAAAATACATAATTAAATACTTTTTCTATTTATAAGATACACAATATCTCATTTATACTCTATAAAATAAAGATGAATAAATTAATGATTAAATTAATAATTATTATTATGTAGGAAGACGAGAATAGAAAGAATAAAAGTCGAACAAATAAAAGAATATAATAATGGGGATGAAAGAATACAATAAGGAACGAGCAGAGAGCGAGAGAGAGAGGGGGGAGAAGAAAAGAGGGAGAATGGGAGAGGGAGAGGGGTGGGAGAGGGAAAGGGGCGGGAGAGGAAGGAATGGTGAGAGGGGAGGATGGGAGGGGGTGGGGGAGAGAGGGCAAAGGGGAGAGGGGTGAGAGGGGGAGAAAGGGGTGGAGAGGGGAGGAAGGGAGGGAGGGCGAGAGGGGGAGGGGAGAGAGAGAGAGTAGGAATGAGTAAGCGAAGGCTGTAAAACGATATATGGATTGATAATTCACATCAATCACTAAACATTAGTGAGCATAAAGTATTGCTACGGAGAAAAATATAACTATTTCCTTTTTTTTCTTACTTTTGGCACTTTTACGGACACTTGCTCACTTACACTCATATCTTCTTTCTCTCTTTGCCCATTCTTCTCTGTCCATCTCTTTCTTATCCGAGCATACTATATGTGTGTTATATGTTATCTACATGTGTGTATATGTTATAGTTACTTTAAATTTATTAAAATATCATTTTTGTTACATTTGGTAAATGTTCAGATTAACTTACACCTCACGGATTATTTTTATTTTTACATATCTTATAGAGGGCACATTCCTAAGTAACACGCACTTTGAATTTTGTGGCACTCTCTTCTGGTTTCAGAGATATGCGATTTTGAAGTATCATAATTTTTGCATTTATTTCTATGATCTTTTCACTATATCTTACTTGCGTGTTTATGTTTTTTGTTTACATTTGCACTGGAAAAATTCAAGGAGCTTCGTTTCCAGAAATGTAAATAAACACTACTTCCAGCAAGGCTGCTTTACACAAATACAACGTAAGCAAACTTTATTTTTTCTTATTTTATAACAGAAAAAGCATTAAAACTGTGAAACTTTAAAATTGCATATCTCTGGAACCAGAAGAGAGCGCCACAAAATTCGAAGTGCGTATTACTTAGGAATGTGCCCTCTATAATATATGTGAAAATGAAAACGATCCGTGAGGTGTAAGTTAATCTGAACATTTACTTTACATTTTCAAAATATTTATATATGTGTATGAATATTTCGATATAATAAAAGTTGTAGAATTGTTTGAGATAAATACAATGCCGCATGATGTTAATATTTACATAAAAACATAAATAAAAACATAAAATATTAACATCATACAGCATTGTATTTGGCCGCGTTCAGCAGAGAAAACCGCTTAGTAGCAATCGAATGTGATTGGTTCTTACTTTTAGAACCAACGAATCAACGTCGAGTGTTGACAAGACGATAACTGAGCGTTTTTCTGCTGAACGCGGCCTTTGTCTCAAACAGTATTACAACTTTTATTATATCAAAATATTTATATTATTATAAAAAAATTATGTATACTTTTCCGTTCGTTATAGCTTTTGTTAACAGCCATTAGGCTCACAACAGAGTTCAGTTTAAAGCATTAATTTGATAAATATTTGTTATGATCCCTCTTCTTTAATTTATAAGATCAAAGAGGATGGTCACTTTTGGTGGGATACCATGTATATAAATATTAAATTTTATTGATCTTATTATATATACAGGGTGTCCCGCAACGTGATGTCCACACTGAAACTGTATATTTTTTGTGTCATTGCCGCGCACTTTGGGAATCTATCGATGATACGCTTTCTGCTGAAACATAACGCCGAAATAGACGTCAGAACTAATCAGAATTACACTTCGCTTCATCAGGCCGCCCAACAGGGTCACGCTCATATCGTTTCCGCTTTGCTGGAGGGAAATGCTTCACATAAAGCGCGCACTAACGTAAGCGACTATTGCTATAAATGGCTACATAACAATACGTATAATAATATTTATTAATGCGTTAATTTGATTAGATTTGTAATATAATATAACATTAAAAATTAATTTTTATTGGAATATACAGGGTGTTCCGCAACGTGATGTCCACACTGAAACTGTGTATTCTTTGTGTCATTCTAAGTCAAAAAGTCTTAATACACATATGCCCTAAAGTCGCTTGTTTCGAAGTTATAGCGAAAAAATGCAAAAGTAGTTATTTCTCACACTAATGCGAGAAAAGCACCTTTATGACTTACCTTACCGCACTAGTAGTGCGGAAATAACAGGCACTATAAAAAATACTGTATGTATGGCATGTGCAAAAGACAACGAATTACGTCGCGCTTCAGTTCATGCGGCAACTTCATACTCGACATAATTCATTGTTTTCCACATTTGCCATACAAGATAATATTAATAAATTGACTGTCGTTTTAAGTGAAAACATCGCATAAACATAGCTTAGAAATTTCTTTTACCTACCAATCATCAATTGGCCTGCAAGATCTCCCGATCTATCTCTCCTGGATTATTTTTTGTGGGGGCACATGAAATCTCTAGTCTATGCGGATAAGCCAGTCAATCGGCAGCGAAATTGTCGGATGCCATGTTCGACCATAGCATGGACATACTTATGGTAAATCATGTAATATATTCTATGCAGACACGATGTATATCAGAAACTACAATCCGTTTCACTATTATATACCTTGACTCCTAGATGTTTCTGTATATTTACATATATGTCGAAAGCGTATTGTGCGTGTAAGTTACATATTGTACAATACCAATATACACAGCATTATAACGATTTCGTATCATAACACAAACTGACATATTAAAAATGTTTGATAATGCTTAATAATGAAAAAATGCAACATTAATATTAATATTTTATTATTTAATATTTAATTTATGTATATTATGAGTTCTATACAGGGTGCGGCATTTATAGTGACGCGGGCATATTTTTCGGAAACGAAGTGAGATATCAAAAAATGTTTTAGACAAAAGTTGCATGGTTTCGAGGGGGCCACATGATAAAAATATGGATTTGACCTTAAGTGGTCTTTTCAAGGTGAGGTCGATGTGGTCGATGTTTTCTTAAATGGAACTCCCCATTTTTTATTACATATTCTTATAGCTTATCCCGAGAGCTTTCCAAAATACTATAATAAAGTATTTTTTTATTAAGTACTTTTTGAGTTATTTTATATTTTAATCTGACACATACTTTGATATAAAAAATAAAATATCTCGTAAAATAAATATTCAGTTTTCGATAATTTTACCGTAATACTTTTATGTACAGAATAATGAGACAAATCAATTAGTGTAAAGAAAAAAACAAATAATTGTTTAAAAAAATACATTGTAAATAATTACATACTTTTTCTTAAAAACAATTATTTTTTTTTACTAATTTTTTACTAATTAAATTACTTTATACGAGATCTCGTCGAGGATATCCCCGAACGTGGCAGGGTACATTGGGGAGGATATAACACCCGATTACCCACAGTGGGCCCCACTCCACGGCTGTATACCCTCGCCCCCCTCCGATCTTGGTGCACGGTGGGGAGCCTGTCTCCACGTGATTGCGACCGAGCCGCTATCGTTCGTGGCCCAGCACGGATTATCGGCTGGGACACAATACGGCTCAGCCGCGATCCCTATTCCGCATTTCCACTGCGCCAGGGTATGTAGGAAAAGATCCTGGGCCCTGGCGCAGTGGTTTAGATTTGCCTGGAGGAGGCCTATTTGCTTCGCCATAATTGGCGACGCTTAGACCTCCTCCATGGTCACCTCCATAAGCTCTTTGGTTTGAGCTGGAGGCGCGTCTCCTCCTATCTTCATCCTGTTTGGAAGCGCCCCTTTCCCTACGTCTACGTTGGGGTTTGGGCGCCTCCTTAACTTGGCCTTGGGCGAGCCCGGGGGTGGCAAGGCCATCCCCGGAGCCCCCCTTGGCCCCTCCTTTCTCCTCTCCTTGCTTGCCTTGGGAAGGCTCGGGGGAGGCTACGCCATCCCCGAGACCCCCCTTAGCTCTTCCCTTCTTCTCTATCTGCCTGCCGCCCTTCTTGGCGGCCCTTCCACCTTTCTTTGCGTGGCAGCTCTCGCCGCCGGCGCGATGGTTGGCCGGCAAGCCGGCCTCTGCGCATAAGACGCAGTGCGTCTTATTTTTGCATTCTATGGCCTTGTGGACAGGGGAGCCGCAGTTATAGCAGCAGCCAGTTCGATCAACCGGGCTTCATTGCTCTTTGACGTGCCCTCTCCCCATGCACCGGAAGCACTGGAAAGGGCGCGCTTTGAGTGGCTCTACCCTGGCCACCATCCATCCCACCTTTACTTTACCCGCCGCGGCCGCCTTGACCGTGGCCGCGACTGGGCACTGCAACCAGAGGGTGCCCATGGCCCCCTTGTTGAAACGGATCTGGCCCGTTTTGATTTCGGAGGCCTGGCACCCTCCAATCTTAGCTACCGCCTCGTTTACTTCCTCGACGGTAATTGAGTCGTCGAGTCCGTGTATTCTGATATCGCCCCTCTTACAGGGGCGGGTCACCCGGACTCCTTCTTTTCCGTCTAGCGCTTGTCTCAGCCTCTTCGCGAAGAGGTCTGCCTTTTCCCCCTTATTTTCCCCCGGGATCTCATATAGGATGGCCCCGGTGGCTGCTCGGCGGGCCTTAACGTCTTTAATGCCCAGCTCCTCTAGGCTCACCTTTTGGCAGGCAAGGGCAATTGTCTCGCCGTATGAGCCTTCCGGGCAGTGAATAGTCACCGCCGCCGTCCTGGGGTTCCTCCCAGACTTCCTCGCAGTAGCGCCTGGGGCAGCCTTTCCCTTGGCCTTCTCTATAACCGAGAAGGGGAGACTTCTTGGCCCCGCTACTGCTCTTAGAGGAGGGCTTAGCGGGCGCTGGTACCGGCGCCCGACTCTTCCTCGCTTTCTTCCTCCCAACGACCTTCACCCAGGCGGAATCCTGGGCATCCGAAGGTCGCGGGAGCGGGGGAGGATTGTTAGGGGAGGGACTCTTTGTTTGGACCTTTGCCATTATTGGCTTTGGCCCATCCTTTCCTGGGTCTCCCAGAGGGTTTCCACCCTTTTGGGAGTTACCTTTTCTCTTTCCCTTCTTCCCGGCGCCATCCTTGGCAGGGACCGGTCCCATCGAGGGCACGACGTACTGCCGGTCGGCGTCGGAGGGGACTGCTCTGCTCGGGGGAGGTTTTGAAGGCGGGCCTTTGGCTCCCTTCTTAATCTTTTCCCTCATGTCGAGCAGCCCCTGAATATGCGCGGTCAACTCATCGTATGCGCTCATATTCTCCTGTCCTATGCCAGGAGGATAATCCTCTAATTTCTTGACAGTTCCTTTTACAGGGGGTCTGTTGACCGGTGGCGGCGCTGGTGTTGGGACATCCCCATAGCGATGTCCACATCTATTGCGGCGTCAACCTCTACTTCCTTTCTTGCTGTGGCGGATGAGGAGGGAATATCCTCCCTTACCACGTAAGAGTTCACCCCCTCGTTTATAGCCTTTGGGGGCGCAGTTCGGGATTTCTTCTCTTTGGCTTTGCCTTCCCCTTCCTTGAGACGTTGAACTTCGTTCTTCAATTGCAGTATCTCTGACATGAGTATCCTATTTTCATTCTGTAGAGTCTTTATTTCGCTCTCCCCATCTGGATTATTAGTCATTGTGGCCTGCGACGAACTTGTCGCGGCCAGAACGGCTATGGCGACCTGCAGGTAACAGGCCGCATCCGATATTTCTTTTTGCACGTTACCTTTTAGTCTTTTGCTTTTTATCGTGCATTTCTTTAATACGGTAACGCACTCCAATCCCCTCGCAGCGACATCAAGCGTCGGCGCCTGCGAAACCTTGTCGTTGAATTCGGCAGTCTTCTGCTCAAACCTCTGCCACGCCTGGCTTTCACTCAATGGCGTGGCAGGGTCGAGCATCTCTGCCTCCTCCCTGCGCTCTTTCTCAGCGAGCTGCTCGGCCTCTCTGACCTTTTTTTTCTCATACTCCCTGGTGGTAGCGGGGCGCCCTCGTTTCCTCCTTTTGAGGAGGGGTTCCTCCCCCCAATCAGAGTCGTACGTATCGTCCTCTGGTAGAGAGATATGGGCGATTACCTCCATCGATACTTCCTCCTTCTCGGTCTTGGACATCCCTTGTCAAGATTCTGCCACCGTGGGCTCCTTGCGTGGTACAGCTTCCTCTCTTCGGAGGACCACTCTCGTTCCCCTCACCAATTCCATCGCCTTTACAGCGACCTTAGAAGACCGCAGCCCCGGTCTGGGACCTTTGGTCTCCTCCTCCCCTTTAGTACTTAAGTTATTGGTTATGGTTATGTTATTGCAGCTCATTCTTTTTATTCCCACTCCCTGCGGAGGCTCGACCGGCCGGCGTATCTCCCACCGACCAAAGGGCGACCCGAAACATGACCGGAATCGCCCTTCAAGCCGGTGCCCCGGGGACTCCCGGGGGGCCGGCTTATGTCGCCGGCCGGGGGGGATACCGCACCCCCGGCACAGGACTCCGAGCCCCTTACTCCCCCATGAGGGGTTTGACTCCCCCATGGGGTTTCGGGGGTCCCCCGCCTCCGACAACGCGGGCACCTCCGGAAGTGACGCCACTCGGGGGGCCCCACGGACGCTTCGGACAGGGTCGCCGCTCCCCGGCCCTGCCCTACACGCCGTGGCGACCAGCCGTCCCCCCGCCGGTTAATCACTGCCGGCAAAGGACACACCTTCTCCTGGCCAGCCGGTTCGGAAGGGGAAACGGTCCCGACCGGCCAGGAGTACGAACTCTCGCCGCTGGGCCCCGCCTCGGAAACGTCCGAGCGGCCCCAGCGGCAGACCCGCGTGGCACCCTCCGGGCAATGCCCCTTGGTTAACCCCTCCGGGCAAAGCCCCTCGGGTAACCACGCGTGGCCTTCTCCGCCACACCCAGCCCGAGCTCGGAATACGTCCGAGTAGCCCCGGTGCGGCCAACTCCAGGGACGCTGGGACGAGAGCGAGCTCTCCACCAGCACCCTGGGATTCCACCCCTCGCCAAGCCCCGCCTCGGAAGAAGTCCGAGCGACTCCGGCGACTGACCAGCGTGGCCCCCTCCGGGCAGTGCCCCTTGGGTAAACCCTCCGGGCAGCGCCCCTCGGGTAACTACGCATGGCCATTTCCGCCGCCCCCGACCTGAGTACATCCGAGTGGCTCGGGTGCGGCCAGCCACAAGGACGCTGGGACGGGAACCCAGGCTACTCAGCCTGGAGACCCCCAACCAGCATGCTGAGGCTCCTCTCGTCGCCAGGCCCCGCCTCGGAAACGTCCGAGCGGCCCCGGCGACCGACCACCGTAACTCCCTCCGGGCAACGCCCCTCGGGTTAACCCTCCGGGCAGAGCCCCTCGGGTAGTTACAGATGGTCACCCATCCCCGCGGCCCCCGCCGCAACAACCCACCCCGAGACCCCGGGGAGACACCCCCAAGAGAAAACCCCCGAAAACACCCCCCGCGACAGTGG